CTGGCTCACTGTGTCTTTACTCTTCTGAAGCAGAGCTTCCAGGTTCTGTATCTTCTGGTCTTTATCTCCGATTTGACGCAACACCTGCTCCAGGTCATTCTAAATGACAAGACGAACAAGACTTTTGGTATTTTGTTCATTTTTTTTTAAAAACTGTAAATCCTTTATCTCATTGGGGTTGTGATGGAAAAATGTTGACTTGAGCTGAATCTTTCTGTAAATAAAATCTTATTCCATCATGATGAAATTAAATGTAATTTCAGTTAAATACTCAAATTAATAAATCTTAAACACAGCTGTCTTTTTATGCTTTGTGCTTACTGACGATATAATAAATGTCTGAGGTGAGAGGTTACAGAGGAGCCTTACCTGCGCCTCGCGGAGTTTGCCGTTGGTGTTTTGCTGCAGTGCCTGCAGCTCCTGGTGCTGCTGCTTGGCTTTCTCCAGCTGGTGCTGCAGGTCTGTGCTCTTACTGGCACTCTCCTTCAACTGAGGCAAAAACAAATGAGCATCATTACTAATTTTATTGCTTTCACACTGTTTTTTGCCTATACACCTAACATCAGGTAAATTTGTTAGCCATTTGTTAACCAATCCTCTAAATTATACACCACCTTTCTAACTCTTTCATCAAGATTTGTGTGTGGGCTTTTTTCTTTTGTTTTTTTGGGGGGTATTTTGTCCTGTCCATCACTGATTCCTTCCTGAATTTTAGTCAAATAAACAAATCAAAAGTATATTTGACTATTTTTCAGTGCACAAAACTCTATCTACAGATATTCTGATGTTCGCTCTTTCCAATTCCCAATTTCCCTACAAGAATCATTAAAGCTCCAGCAGATGCCCACCTGTTCCTCTGCACGGGAGAGTTTGAGCTGCAGGTCGGCTGCTTGTTGCTCGCGGTCCTTGAGTTTCTCCCCCGACAGCTGCCTCTGTTCTTTCAATCGACCTTGCACCTCACCCAGCTGCCTCTCTGCCTCCAACAGTTTGGCATGCAGCTAGAAAAGCGCAGAGACGACAGTAAAGAGTAAAGTAGATAACAAAGGATGACAAAGTCCAAGAGCAAGAAATACCAGATATTTAGATGTTGAAAATCAACTCTACTGTGTTCGTTTTTTTATTCATGTTTTTTGCTGCACTTTAAACCAATATTATGGTTTAAGTCTGTTTTTTTCACCCTCCCAGCCAAAATATTTGACACGATATTATGTGTATAACTAAAATGTAAGTAGTAAATTATATTCAGTGTATTTTTTTATACTAATTTGCAACAACGTTCATCTAAAAGCACTTCATGTTTTGAAGAGACGTTTTAGACAATATATGCAAAAGCACATTTTCAAGAGCCTCTGATGTTTTGTTCTCCAACTCTTTCTAACAACAGAAGCATTTGTGACTTCTTTGCCTGCCTGACTCACCTGACTGATCTCAGTCTGCTGCTGAGCACCTTGGCTTTCCTTTTCTTCCCGCTGCTGTTCCAGCTGTTTCCTCTCAACCTTTAACTCTGCATGCTTCACCTCTAGCTCTGTAATCTCACTCTTCAACTTTGCCACCTCTTCAGCCCTCTCTGAGACCTCCATCTGGGCTTTGTGCAGGGACGCCTCAGCCCCTGTGGCCCGAGCCTGCAGCTCTTGCACTTCTAATTCCCTTTCCCTCAGGCTTTCTTGGACTTCCTTCTTGGAAGCTTTCTCAGCCCCTAGATGCTCCTCCAGATCTTGATACTCCTTCTCCTTGCGTGCAAGCTTTTCAGACAGGCTCTGCAAGTATAACAGAAGACAACATCAGTCAGTTATGCGATCTATGCCAAGACATTTGGCCTTTATGGTGGTGAAGTTTTTCCATAAATTGAACAAAACTTGTGAATGACAAAACAAGAGCAAGCAAAAATGACTGCCTTGTGTTACTTCTTGGCAGTGAGCAGGGTCTTATTGAAAAAGACTGATAATGTTACAGCCGCTAATTAAGTCACAGCGGAACATGAACCATTTGTCTTTTCTAAATTAAAACCGTTAGCGTGATAGGAGTTGCACCACGTCATGAACACACCCCGCCCCGCACGACCTCATGTGATACGAGCAATGGAAAAGAACAGTGGCCTGTCAAGAGTCAAGAATAAAGTGAGGTATGCCATTTCTAGAGGATGGTTTACAACACAGAGCTGCACAGCACTTGCTCCGGCTGCAAACTTGGCAACAGGGCGACAAAGAAAATAATGTTGTTAATAGTGAAGCATGCCGCTAACTAGGAAGAGTGACAGGGGATCTGGATTTCACAGACATCCAAGAACCCTCGTTAGATTTTTGACCCCCACTCTGCATTTATGCATTTCCTTCCTTCTCCGTGTTTTCGCTTTTCTCCTCTCGCTCACCTCCTCCAGTCTCTCACCATCTGCTCAACCTTTTTTTTGCCCCTTTTTATTCTCATGAGATAAATATCTGTATCCGGTCTCGGGTGTCCTGTTGTTAGGAGAAGCACAGGGCAGTGGCAACGTGCTGGAGATCCACTTCTCTAATCCCCTTCTTACCAGAAGGCTGGAGGACTGCTGTTGAGAATTTAATCTCTGGCTACGTTTCCCCAGTTCCCGTTGCAGCAGTGCTGTTACCTGTGACTGCATTTCACCCCTGCAGTGCAGCGCTGGTTTAATTATAGTGCCGCCTGTAAGTTTTGCCAACATATCTGGGTTGTCAAAGACAGTTGGTGACAGCAGGGTATTGTGATGAGACCTGATGCTGAGCAACAGAGGAAGGTTTACAGCAGCTGCTGAGACTGAGTAATGTTACTGTGGGAAAAAGTAAATCCTACACATTCTTGCAGTGCAACAGATGTAAAAGTAGACACGTTTGCACCTGTGCTTATTCGTCCAGAATAGCTACAACAGCTGTAGCTGTTTGGTTCTGGTGTGGTGAGCGTGTGTTACCTGACTTTGCTGCTGCAAGTTATTCAAATTGCTCTGCAACTCATGAATCTGTTGCGTGTAGACGGCTGCTTCCTGAGGACCCTTCTCCAGCTCTGCCTTCAGTTGGGATATGGTCATCTGCAGTCCAGTAAAAAGGACACGTTAGACTCTTTCTCAAAGACAAATGTATATTGAAGAAACAGAAGCAGCACTGTAAAGGACTGGCATAAAATAAAACACAGACTAGTAATGAACAGGCTTCACTTCCACAAAAGCTAATAAGTAAATAAAATAAATTCACAGACTAATAAAAGTAAAGAAACCTCAGACAAAAACGAAACAAAGCTCCAAAGAAATGAAACTAAATGTGGGGGCCAACTTGTTTACCTCCAGTTTACGAATCTTGAGTATTGTGAGTGTTGCGGAGGGGTGCAGTGTGTGAGAAGCAGAAGGAAGAAAGGGAAAAAGACAGAGGGACAAAAGTGAGTCACGAAACAACAGCAAGCAGCAGCACAGAGCTGCTGAGCTGAGAGAATAAAAAGCTGAATATTTCACACAAACATGTGTTTAATATACTAAAACAACAGCGAGTTGGAGACAGCTGGCAAATTCCTAACAGCGCTCCTCGTCAACTATATCTGACAGCTATTATATAATTAAAACCCAGACCTCTAAATATTCTCAAAATCTGCTTTTTTCAGTGTGTAAAAAAATATGAGTAGGTCTTTAAGATCATTTGCAGAAGGAGAGGTTCAGGGCCCGCGGCTGCCTGATAGAGCTCTAAAAATAGTCCTCTCCTTCTGGGAGAAAAATGGAGGAAATAGGGCTGAATTATTCACCATGCATTAATTAAAGGCTGAATTAGGCACAAAGCCCAAAGAACATCTGAACTTTTTCAGAACTTATTACAAAACTGTTTCTTGTCTTTGGTAAACTGTGAAAAGTAAGTCAAATTAAACTTTTTCAAATATTTACACAGACAATGAAAACAATCGTTTTTATGTGACTGTGACAGTCAAGAGCGTCAAACACAACAGGTGCTTCGGCGTTCTAACCTCTGAGGTAGTGTAATTAGCCTGCAGTTGCTCATAATGGTTTTTGAGGCGCTCTGACTCTTCCTCCCTCTCACGGGTCATGTTGTCCATCAGCGTTTGCACCTGGACCAGCTCCTTCTGCAGAACCTCGACATCCTCAACGCCCGGTCGCTGCAGCTAGGGGGCAGAGAAAAAAAACACTATGTTTTAAAAAAAAGAAAAAAGGACCGGGTCACAACAAGTCCAGCAAGAGACAAAAGCTATGTGAAATTCACCAGGTGTGCACACGTTAAAATGCTTTTGAACAGCACCAGTACGATGTTCTGACTTCAGTAAATCCAAGAGTCTACAGCTCAGTGGTTTTAGGATTAAATTTACTGTTAGTTCCATTAGTGTATAGCTGATTTTAAATTGTCAATATGTGACTGAAGTGCAGCCATACATGCACATGCCATATCACTGTGCCCACCATGTTTGAGAGCAATTGTTTGCTTCACATCGTGACCTGTATCGCCCATCTCCAAACTTTTCTTTTCCCATCATTCAGTTTTCATCAGGCTGAAGATTTGTTTGGATTTTTTTAAGAGCAGTCTACTCCGGTCTTCCTGGTCCTGAGCGTAACCAGTGGTTTGCACCTTGTTGTAAACATTCTGCGTTTATACTCCTGAAGGCATCACTTGATTGTAGACTCTGACAATGATACTCCTACGTCCTCGAGAATGTTTTGACTTGGTTAGATGTTGACAAGTTTTGGGTTTTTTTAAACTAAGAATGAATTTGCGATCATCAGCTTTAGCTATCTTCTGTGGTCTTTCAGGCACTTTGAGCTGGCTAGTGTGTTTCTTCTTTTCTTCTTAAGAATGTACCAGATTGTTGATTTGGTCACTTTTAAAAGTTTTACTCTCGCTCTAATGTTTTTATCTGGGTTTTTAAACCTAATTATAGCCTCCCTCACTTGCGCCAAAATCTCTATGGACCTGATATTGAGAGTTCGAATGAAAAGCTATCAAAGCTAAGATCAATGCCTGAAATCAACTCGAGATTCTTTACTTGCTTAGTTTGTCGTGGAATAATCAGAGAACCATGAAGCTGGTTATCAATTTTCCAATTGTTCTGATCTTATGAAAATGGGGGAATATGAATAAAAATGGCCGTCATTTCTAAACAGGTAATGCAATTTTTTCATTAAGCCCTTTAAATTAAAGCTGTAAGTCTCACTTATATCACATATTGATAGTTTGATTTAAAATCCAACGAAATGATGTAGAGACACAAAAAAAAAGGACCTAGCTGCATTTTTGGGTGAAGCTTCCATAAACCAGTTGGAACAGTTAACACCTGTTCAGGCCAGACGGCACAGGAATATGAGCATAATTGTACGTTTGAACCACACGACTCTATTGCTGAGGCCAGTTCGCTTTTTTGGTGATAAAAGTTTTTTAAGATTCCATTTTTCTCAACATGTCTTTGACAAATGTGTGGACAGGGCCTGTGTTGATCCTTCAGGAACACAGCTCAGAGTCAAACTGAAATCACTGTGGAGGTCAAACTCTAAAGAAAACATTTACTCGAGAGAACAGAATAAATAACAAAAGACACTTGGAGCGTGTTGTTGTACCAGCTCTGTTTGGAGTCGCTCGTTCTCCTCCTTCGCTTCCTGCAGTTGTTCGTTCAACTTGGCTAATCTCTGGTCAGCAGCCTCCCTGAGGCTTTTCTCCTCATCGTAACGGGACTTCAAATCTGTTGGATTCAGTGATGGAAAAAATGGAAAAAAAAGAAAAAATCTAATCAGATTTATCCCGGAAAATACTCATTCCTTGAGGCTGGGTTGAAAAACGAAAAAAATCTGAATAAGGACAAATGGATTTGTAAAAGGAAAATAAATAAATGATGATGCAGACCCACAGACACAGGCCTCCCAGTTGTCCGGCCGAACACTAACCTACTATCTCTGTGGCCAGCTGGGCAGCCTTCTGCTCAAACAGGTCTTTCATCTGTTTGATGTTGAACTTCTCTGTCTCAGCTTCATTCAGCTTCCTTTCAAGTACTGAAAAACAGCATGACATATTAGCGACTGATGATCTGCTGTGTAGTTACACGTGCACTTTAAGGGTTCCCTACCTGAATCATCCGCGCTCATCTGCCCATCGTTCTGCGGATGTGAGCGAATGAGAGAAACACTGCATTAGCATCATGTTTTATATTCACAAAGTCACCTCTTCATTAAAACATGTTTTTTTTTAATCTTGAAGCATTTACCTGCTTCAGGTGTCCTTGGACTTTGTCTAACTCCTTTTTTAGCTCACCAGAGAACCATCTTTCCTCCTAACCATGAAAAACAAACTCATAAATCAAGTTTGCAGAATTATTTACACCGCTCGCTAACAGGTACAGTTTAAACGCAGCTATACCTTGAGAGAAGTGTGCAGGTCCTGGACCTCCTGCCGCAGCATTGTGAGGTCTTCCCTAAAAGAGCAAAAAAAATACCATGTTGATTAAAAAAAAACAAACACTAAATTAAACACTGCCACAAACATACTGAGGTCAGTCTCTATGCTTTGATCAGAAACGCTAATCTCACCTAGTGGGGGCCACGTGAGCAGGGAGGTCTCCGGTATCATGGAACAGCTCATAGTGCTTGAACAGCTCCTCTGCAGAGTTGTGAGACTTCATGCACTGAGGACAGATGAAGCCCTGCACACAGAAGTATGCCATTAATGAAAACTGCTTCAGTTAAAAAAACATAAAAACAGCAAAAACTAAAAGAAAAAACAAAAGTAGAAGTTCTCAGTTAAAAGCAAAGTGCATCCACATTACCTCAGATGTCTGATCGTGGTTAAGGTCGGTGCTGGGCTGCTCTGACTCTGCATTCTGGGACCCTCCCTTCCCGGGAGTCTGGTGAACAGAAAATAAGACTTTTATGTTGAAGCTCAATACCTCAACGCGACAAAATTAAAAGTCCATAACTTATAACATTGTGATCTATTGAAATCACATTGTTATAAGCATTAACAACACCATTTGTTTTAAGATTTAAAATATAACTGAGATGACTCGTGTTTCTCTTCATCTGTAATATTTATTGTAGTTAATAATCTCTGGCAAAGGCACATATCTGTCTATGTAAAGTCTGACATATTAAAGAACCTAAAGTCACATTTACCCATACATTCATTCAGTAAGTTCTTATCTTCATCAGTTCCACAGCCAAGCTAACATTCATGTCTTTTGAGTGTAGGAGGAACATGCAAACTCCACATAGAAAGGTCCAAGCCAACCAGGAGATTCAAACCCTGAATTTTCTTACTGTGTAACAGTGGTTACCAATGCATAACCTGACCATGTGGAACTAAAACACCCTACAGAGCCTGGATCTAGGATTGTGTTAAGGCACAGATCTGGAGCTTCGACACTTCTTCAAGGGAAGATTTTTAGAACGCCAAGATTCATTCCAGCCCTAACTGCTAAGGCCAAACTAAGCTATCGGGCACCTGGGCTTCATGATAAAGAGGCAAGGCAGAGGCCTTTCTAGCAAGAGACACATGAAAGCTGCCTGGAGTTACGAAAAGAAAGGACCTCGACTGTGAGAAACAACATCCACTAACCAAGCAGGAACTATTTGATCTCAATGCTAAGTGTCATGTCAGGAGCACACTTTGTAATCTGGCTAGGAAATATTTTTAAAATTTCCCCAAGACTGATTTTCCTTGTACAGTTCCTATCAGTGCTTCCAGCATTTCACATATATGACACTGTGGTGCTAGTGTGGCTATGCTTCAGTCACAGATTCAGTTTTAAAAGCAGCAATGATTTACCTAGACTATCTGCCTTTCCTGTGTTATTGCATATCAATAACTATTTGACATATGTGTTTACATATTTTCTGTGACTTCATGAAATGTGCAAGGCTTTAGCCCACTGGCCTGAAAAACAAACACATTAGCTAGGTGTTCGGCAGGTTTTCCATTCACAAAAAGGATTTATTGGTGCAGGTGACATGAATGAAAGAGGTCAAAATTAGTGTTTGTGCAAGTTGGGCATTCAGCAAAGACTGACCTAAGTTTGTTTAAAGGCTGACAAAACACTTAAGGGTTGGGTTGCATTACGGAGCAACCTTTAACCCTAGTTCAACAAATAGTGTGTGTGTGTGTGTGTGTGTGTGTGTGTGTGTGTGTGTGTGTGTGTGTGTGTGTGTGTGTGTGTGTTATGTAATATTACTAGCCTCAAAAATAAATATACATACATTAAAAATATACAAAACTGTATTATACTACAGGCCTTCTTCAATAATAGCAACTGCATTACCAGTGGGATTATTATTGTACATTGTTTTGAAATGGACTGGAAATGCAATATTTGTCATCTTTTAAACTGCTGTTAAAACCTGTTGAAATCCTGTTAAGGTCAAGGGTGGTGTTGCAACTGTGATATGGCAAAGGTATAAAATGAACTGCAATCAGTATCTTGTAGCCTGATAAGTATTTGAACCTATCAAATTACCTGAGTGTCTAATCACTCTGTAAATAAGGTGGTTCAAAAGCAACTTCTCTTATATAAAAAGTAGGGGTGCAACGATATTCGTATCGATATTGAACCGTTCGATACAGTGCTTTCGGTTCGGTACGCATATGTATCGAACAATACAACATTTGTAATTTATTTTATCAACTTTCCTTCTGACGATGCTGTCTGTGTTGAGCGCTCAGTGAATCTGCGTTCGACTACTCCGCCTAGGCTGCACTGTCGAGCGCAGATCCACTGAGCGCTCAACACAGACAGCATAGTCAGAAGGAAGAGCGCAGGGCAAGCTAGCGAGACAGAAGTTAAGCTCTCCTTGCAACATGGCAAATTGAACCTCCCCCACCCTCATTCAGATCTGGCTTTGGAATTATTTTGGTTTTCATGTGACGTATGACCCTGAAGGTAAGCGCGTCATGGACTAAAGTAAAACAGTATGTTGGATGTGCCACGCAATGCTCAATTACATGGGTGGGAGCTAGTGTGTTAGCGCAGTTAGCTCGTTAACGTGTTGGCCGTCTAGCCCCACGCAGGGTAGCTCGTTAACGGAGATTTGCCGTGTTGTGGCGTTAACGTCATTTCAACGAGATTAACGCTGACAGCACTAGTGGGAACACAACGAATATGACTGCACATTTACCCGACATCATCCTAGTGCAAAGACAAGTGGAAGCAGACAAAAACAACAAGCATGCATGCTACAAACTTTACCCGAGTCATTTAGACAGCCGTTAGCACATGATTCTCCTTATGGGGACCTGATATGTTTAATATTGTGGCGAGCTCAGACAAGGAGGAGACGGAGGTATCGTTTGGTCTTGCTTCCCGTGAGCTAGCACAGCCGTTTATTGACATCTGCAGAAGAACACTGCCGCTAGCTAACTGCTCAGCGCGGCAACCGCACAGCAACAACAACACACAGAGCGCCCTCTGACCCCGGAAGGACACACCGTCGCAGCGAGAAGGCGTCACCCGTCACTATGGCAACATAAACAAAACATAACTGTACAAACAGAACCCCGAACAGCCCTGACCCGCTACATAGCCCCCACCTAAGGGGTCAGTCGTCCCCGACGACCCCATTACCCCACACAAAGTCCTGCAAATGTCCAGGTGCCTTCTTTTGGCGCACCGGCCGGTCACGACCGGCGGGGGAAAAGTCACTCGGGTCAGAACATGGGGTGCCACCATCATCCCACTTCTGACACCAATGTGGCGAGCTCAGACAACGAGGAGACGGAGGTGTCGTTTGGTCTTGCTTCCCGTGAGCTAGCCAGGGAGCACAGCCGTTTATTGACATCTGCAGAAGAACACTGCCGCTAGCTAACTGCTCAGCGCGGCAACCGCACAACAACAACAACACACAGGGCGCCCTCTGACCCCGGAAGGACACACCGTCGCAGCGAGAGGGCGTCACCCGTCACTATGGCAACATAAACAAAACATAACTGTACAAACAGAACCCCAAACAGCCCTGACCCGCTACAATATGCTGCTGAGAATATAGCCCAGAAGAAGCGTATAGTATAGCTTTTATTTTGGAAAGAGCCATTTCTCTGTAATAAACTCTCTTTTCCAAAGATGAGTGATTCCTCAATCAGATACAGGTGTTACCGCGCCAGATCCGCGGCCCCGAACCGTAGTAAGGAAACCTCTGGCAGTTACTTGAAGGTTCCGTAACTGACTCGTAGCCGGCAACAGCTTACTATACAGGTCAACTCCGCTAGCAAAAAGATCGAAGGAGGCGTAGGAAACTGCTTCACCGAACTTTATTTCTTCTCTAAGGCACGAACACCGCGTACAGTGGGCTGAAACAGTTTACTCACAGCGAGCATCGCCGACACAACTCTGGCTGTCGAGGGAGTTATTATATTCCTTTTATTTATTTTCTTTTCGTCTCTTCTGTAGCTAACCGTTACTTTTTCCCCTTCTCCGCTCTCTCTCTTCACACACACACCAGGCAGTCCCGCTACACACATCCCGAATACATTTCCCATCAGGCTTCATCCTTAAAGGGCCATGCCTGTAACACAGGGCTTGCAAAATCGCTAGCCCGACGTCCCGGGGCTAGCGATTTTTCCAGTCGGGTTACCAAAATCTATCTCTGCCCTGCCCGTTGGGCTATTGTAGGAAGAAAAAATATATGTCAATGCTTTTGCATTCTTTCGGAAATGTAGCTGGGTAATTATGTCATTGGCATCGGTGAGCCACTGTCAATATGTGACATATTGAAATCGCGTTTGAATTTGCGCTTGTTTTTTGCTTTCACTTTGCAAATGTCCAGGTGCCTTCTTTTGGCGCACCGGCCGGTCACGACCGGCGGGGGAAAAGTCACTCGGGTCAGAACATGGGGTGCCACCATCATCCCACTTCTGACACCAATGTGGCGAGCTCAGACAAGAGGAGACGGAGGTGTCGTTTGGTCTTGCTTCCCGTGAGCTAGCCAGGGAGCACAGCCGTTTATTGACATCTGCAGAAGAACACTGCCGCTAGCTAACTGCTCAGCGCGGCAACCGCACAGCAACAACAACAACAACACACAGGGCGCCCTCTGACCCCGGAAGGACACACCGTCGCAGCGAGAGGGCGTCACCCGTCACTATGGCAACATAAACAAAACATAACTGTACAAACAGAACCCCGAACAGCCCTGACCCGCTACAATATGCTGCTGAGAATATAGCCCAGAAGAAGCGTATAGTATAGCTTTTATTTTGGAAAGAGCCATTTCTCTGTAATAAACTCTCTTTTCCAAAGATGAGTGATTCCTCAATCAGATTATTTTTTTATTCTTTTGTTTCAGCAACATTAAATTTAAAAACTGTACTTTTGAGTTAAAATATATATTTATAATTTTAATAAATGACAAATTAAAAAGGCATGAACATTTTTTTTGTATCGAAAAAATATCGAACCGTGACACCAAAGTATCGAACCGAACCGAAGTGAATTTTGTGTATCGTTGCACCCCTACTAAATAAGTAGATGTGAGCTGTCTTCTCTAAACAGAGCATGTCTCCCTTTAGTCCTATTAACCCATAATAATAGCCACAAGGTGGTGACGGTTACAAAGCTGCTACTTCTTATTTTGGCTGCTCCCTTTAGGACTTGCCATAGGGGATCATCTACCTTCATTTTTTATATACTGTTGTTTGTTTGTTTGTTTGTTAATTAGTTAGTTAGTTAGTTTGCTTCTTTTAATCAATTTTAAATCATGCTTTTTATTTGTTCTTGTTTCTAATGTCTCTGTAAAGCACTTTGAATCACCTTGTTGTTGAATTGTGCTATACAAATAAACTTGCCTTGCCTTGCCTTCATCTTACCCTATCCATACTATCCCCTCTGTTGCACCAACCCCCTGCATGTACTCAACATATCCAAACTATATCAGCCTTTCCTCTCTAACTTTGTCTCCAAACCACTCAACCTGGCCTTTTTGTCAGTCCCACTGTCTCTTATTACCATCTTATAATAGGACTTTTCAGTCTTCCTGCCATGCTTCTGTCCCAAATCAGCCCTGACACTTATCTAGACCTCTCTGTTCACGACCTCCAGGTATGTTTAACCTCTTCTGCCTTCACAATTTCCCGTCCTTGCAGCTTCGCTGTTAATAATTACAAGGCTACAGATAATGTGTAAAAACACAGAACAAAACAGTACTAAGTGCTTTAAAAATGTACCGACCTAAATAAAAACGGAATGGGTAAAGATTTTTCTTATTAAATTGTGATCTAACTAATGTATACAAACTAACGCGAGGAGCGATGCCTTGTGGTAAATGTAGTCTTCTAAGAAGCTAGCCAAGTAGCTGACCTCTGCTCTTTACTCTCACAATTAACTTTAAAGACAAGCAGCCAGTTTAATTAACCCTGCCAGCATGAACAGTTTTGTGTTTACTTGGTTAAAACACGTGTTTCTACGTTGTGGTGAGCCAGATGATAACACTTCCCAACACTAGTAGGTAGCTAACGTCACTGTTAGCATGTGACGAGAAGACGATGAATTAACCTACCTACTCCTGTAACATAGCTAGCTAACGGAAAGTACGAATAGAAACTGTGTCAATGACTAAATATATCAGCTTTTAAAGCTCTCCCATAATGAAATAACCCTTAAGAGGTATAAAATTTAAGTATATTATAATCCACAGACTAGTTTCATTCCTGTCCACTTTAGCATGCTCGTTTTATCCAAGTTAGCATTTAATGGTTAGCTGTGTCAGCCCAACGCAAGGAGCGCTCGATGTATTCACTCCGACCTGCAGGAACTTTTTCAGCCTACCAGTTCACTAGCTAAACGTAAACCCGCCCATCAGCGATACGTTTTGTATCAAAACATTCGTCTCCACCACGAAACCAGACATAGACAGGCCTGTGTCTTCTGAGGAAAACGTCTCCAGTTGCCTAAACAAAAATCGATCCCGATGATTGCTTTGTCCCCCGGATAACTTACCATTTGCAGTATCCGTCTGAGCATAGCCTCGATTGTGTTTTGTCCCGTCAAGAAATCCTGACAGTTTTCAAAATGCCAAGTTTACGTCTGTGAACGGCGAACACCTGACCGGACTCAGGGAACAGCAGCGACGGATGGGCGGGTCATGGAGAGGATGGCTCAGCACCAGGAGGATACACAACCTGGTGATATTCAGGATTACATACAAGAGCCGTCATGCTCTGCAGCACTCAATAAAAATCTGTCACAATAGTAATTATCTTTAAACGATGTTTATTTAAATATTTTTGCACACAATAGAATACCCCAGTCACACATGGACGATGAGGAAAGATGTTAGATGGGCTTTCCTGCCAATGGTAGCCTAGGAAGTTAAATTATGACCATATTTGAGCTTTTTTCCCCTAGGTGTTAAAGGACTTCCATGCACAATACAACGCTTTGAAACAAGCACCATCAAAAAATAATCACATAATAAAAAACGGATTTCCACGATCCACAGTTTATTTCTCCAAAAATAAACGACTCTCAGTTTGACTTTTAACTGTGCACGTTTTGGGTGTTTGCTTCAGTTTTTTTTCCTTCTTTGCATACTTAATTTTCCATTTCTATGCTTTGTGCTTGTAGTTGGACTGTACCATTGCCACCAGGGGGAGTAGTCTACAGCCTGGTATTAATGGTATAGTCCAAACACTAAGCCCAAACTAATCACAGGGAGAAAAAAGATGAAAACTTACTTTTAAAATATATATATATATAAATATATGATTATGTTCTGAAGCAAAAAGCCTAAATGTGGACAATTAAAAAGCAATAAATAAAAACAATAATATTAACTTGTGAAGAAACTGGATTAAAGTTTAAAGCAAAGCATCAAATAGAATCAGGCGACCATAATTCCTGTCATACTTTTCGGTCCATGTTTCCCAGCGGAACATAAATTCAGTCACTGTGCACCCTCTGTCGTAAAAGCAAACCACATTTTTCTTAATGTCCTATGGAGCCCAGCTTCCAAAAACTGGGTTGTTTTGACAGCATGTATAAGGCTTGATTTGTTCTGTTCATTTACTTTGTGTTTATGAAGGCACTTAATGGGAGACTTTGTGCAGCATTTGTCAGACTCTTCTAAGGCATCTCTGCAGATACACTATATAAAACATTTGCTATAATGCACTAGATTATAGTTTTTCTGAGGATATGTGCCATTTCATGTTTGATTCAGTTCACTATATAGAAGTTTTTCTCTAATTTACTCAGTTTTCACTCACATTGACAGCATTCAAATATATACACACATGATTTAAGGCTTGTTCAGTGTCACTAGTGCTTAGAGATGATACTGTGTGCGCTGAGGAAGTAATAACAATGCTGTCCACGCTTGCTGCAGACTTTACCTCATCTCTTTTAGCAGAATTCCTTACAAACTTCCCAAGGTAGCAGTTTGTAAAGTCCATCCATAGACTTGCAGCTACTCTTTTTCAAACATCTTGCACATTGTTTGGCACTGAGTCACTGTGGGAATAAGGCTTCCTCCAGGAGCCAACACTTCCCCATACCGCCTCCAGGAAATCACCAGCACACAGTGTGTGCCGCCAGTCAAATATACAACATCTAAGACTAAACAGGCCTTTATATTGCATAATCAGTGCACTGCAGTCTGCCTAAAGTTGAAAAGGAAATGCTTTACAGGAATTTTTAAAAAAAAAATACTACCGGTACATTAAAAAAAGTCTTAAATACATTTGAAAAACTTTTTCAGTGTCACTTCAAATCAGTCTCAAGAAGTTCAGCTGAAAATTCATTTCCTCTCAGAAGACCTGCTCTCTGCCATTATGGCTCCTATCTGCTGACTAGGTCTGAGCAGTGTGTGGAGCAAACAACATAGTGGGGTGCGTCATCATCTGTCATGTGGGAGCTCAGGCCATTGCCGTTAGCTGGGCCACACATGGGAGTGCAGGTGGGATTACAGGTGCCCTTAAGTCTGTGTAGGTACTCTGCATGGACAGGCTTGTGGCTCTGCAGCACCCTTATGGCTTCATCGACCTTGAACCACTTCCTCTTCCTTCCTGTGAAGAGATTGAAGTAAAGTTGAATTGTTTGCATGTGGCTCACACGATCAGTGTTGTGCTTAATGACACTTCAATACAATGTGTGGGAAATTGTTTTAAGTCCGTAACACATCCATCCTGATAGATGCATAACTGCTAATATGATATTGATAAATATTCTTAAAAGATCACAATAAGGTCTTGATTAAGGTAATCTAAACAAGGAACAAGAAACAAAACATTTCTCAGCATATGATTGCAACATTTCAGATATTAGGTCACAGGAAACCATAAGCTTGTCCATCCCTTCTGCTCATTTCTCAGTTGGCACATCCTCGATTCCTTTCCTCATCTCCTTGCATCTTGGTCCCTCCCACCAGAAATGTGATCACAGGAGGAGAGGAAGAAAGATGAGGAGAGAGATGAGGCAACAGGCAGTTAGCAAAATGACACATCTTTGTTTGACAACTGTCATTTTAAGGCAGTTGATATCATGTTATGATCTTGGTGAGCTATATACTTTTAAAAAAATATTAAAGAACACTCTGAAAACACATCAGAGAAGATGTGTTTTCAGAGTGTGATGGAAATCGTTTGATGGAAATGAAAATTATCAACGTACAGAGGGCTCAATTCAAGACACCCCCACATCAAAGTGAAAAGATTCTACAGCATGCTAGTCTATTTTCCCGAAATGTCACTGCAGCAACTCAAAATAGAACTCCGTAATTTGTATGGCCCCTACATGCTTGTATGCATGCCTGATAATGTGTGCACAACAGATGGTGTCCAGGGGGATCTTCTCACAAGTTGGACCAGCACATCACTGAGCTCCAGCACAGTCTGAGATGCAACCTGGCAGCATCAGATGGACCGAAACATAATGTCCCAGAAGTGTTCGAGTGGATTTAGGTCAGACAAGCATGGGGCCCAGTAACATGTATCAGTTCCTTCGTCCACCAGGAACTGCCTGCATACTCTTACTATTACACCATGAGGAACCCTGACCCGCTGCACCAGCATTGGGTCTGACAATGAATATAATCCCGATATCTAATGGTCAGGGTGCTGTTGCCTACCCCATAGAGCTCTGTGTGTCCCTCCATGGATAAGCCTCTCCACACTTTCACTAACCCACCACTAAATCAATCATGTTAAACAATGTTACAGGTAGCATAACGCTCTCCACAGCTTCTGCAGACCTCTTAAAATCTGTCACACATGCTCACTGGTGGACCAGCCAATTCTTGTAAATGCCAGTTGGGCTCCACAATGGCAGGCAGTGAGCGCAGGGTCCACTAGACAATGTTGAAGTCTGTTTCTGATTGTTTAGTCAAAGGTATTTACACCAGTCACCTGCTGGAAGTCAGGTAAAGCTCCATCCTGTTCATAAAGGAACAGATACTGGTCCTGCTGATGGGATCTCCCTCTAGGAGATTTGGACTACATGGGAAACTTCCGTAGAGTCTGAGTCCAGGCATCACCGCATGCTGCCGGTAGTGATACTGACCCTAGCCAATGGAGGGAAAGAATGTGGATCATTCCTGTTTTGTTAGTTGTCTCATTGTTGCCCCTCTAGTTTACCTCTAGTTATTAATTTCAATAACACCAAAGCAGCAGAGTGGCTGTAGCTCAGGAGGTAGAGCACCTACTGATCGGAAGGTTGGTGGTTCGATCCCTGGCTCCTCCAAGTCTGCATGCCAAGTATCCTTGGGCAAGATACTAACCTCAAGTTGCTCTCCGATGCATCCATCGAAGTGTGAATGTAGTTAGAAAGCACTAAGTATAGAGAAAGTGCTTGTGAGAATGGATGTGTATGGGTGAATGTGGCATGTTGTATAGAGCGCTTTGAAGAATCCATTTACTTAACTGACCAGATCAATACCCCAGATGTTTAACTGGTAGCAGGTAAAAACTCTTCAGAGAAAGATACACAATGATACACCGGTGAATCCTAGATAATTGCTCCTCAGACAAACCTCCTCTCTTCCGTGTCCTTCAAATGCATTTAAGCAACTAAAACATTTCTTAGGGCAATACAGTGAAAATAACTTGCACAGTGGAGAAGATGAGGCGCAAATCAGAAAGAAAAAAAAGATAAAAGGCCCATAATGAAGCTCTTGATTTGAGCACTATGGGTCGTACACAGGAAATAAGCGTAACAAACAAATCCAAAAAAGGCACAAGGCAGAAAACAGGAAAGGGCAAAGTATCCAAAATACAAACAAGGCAGAGTTAGCAGGAACTAGCTGTGGCAAAGATTAAGGAAAGGAGTGTGCGTACTGCAAAGACTCAGTGTTTAGATGATTAGGGTCAGGTAGTGCTCAAAATGCATGAGATTGAAAATGGAGGAGACTCAGACTGGACCCAGTCCATAGGGGCAAACATAGAAATGTAATACGATTTTTAAACTTAGCAAAGACTTCTTGAACAAATTTTGGATACCAATATCCACAAAGCAAACCACACTGTGTGTTAATTGTATTTAAAATGCTCCAAAGGGCACGCCACCATTAAGCAAACATTGTATAATTTGTCACAGAGAGCCTGAATAAGCGCTGAGTGAGACTGCTGAATGAAAGGATGACTAAAGGATCATTTTATTCACCACACACAAAAATAAACTGTGCATGTCATGGCACCAGTGGGTGTCGGTGTGGACATGGGCATACTTCAGACAGCCCTAAACCCTAAAAAAAGTATCTTCCATAAAAATGATCTGTCCAGCAAAGCGACAGCTGGAAGTTATTTATACTTTATTCAAACTCATCTCCTCCCATTCAATTCCAGCACTTTGCTAAAGGGATTTGCCATGCTCTGTGATAACTGGAGCCTGGTGTGATAATGAGGAGGAGGATGCCTTCACTTCATGTTGGCACCCTGAAGAGTGCCACCACTACCAGCATTTAAGGAGGCGAGGGAGTCAATTCAACCTGTAGTAGTAAACCCTTTCTGTTTAGTCGCAACCTTCGTGTAGGGCAAAAGAGGACAAGTAAGGGGGGCTGCTGTGGTCAGTGATGATAACTGGAAAACAGCTGGGCACAGCAAACACTCCTCCCCCTTATGAACAGGCTGAACTCTTACTTCTGTGGGTGAAGGGAGTAAACGGCCACAACCACATTTTCCAGTCCAGTTAGAAATAGTTTACAAGTTACTCAATCCCGGGAAAAGTATTCCATTTAAAATATCAGACAGTGAAAACATCCATGAAAACATATCGAAACATGTACATCCACCTTATATGCGTTACAGTTTAGAAAAACATTCTATATAAACTTAAAGTCAACATAGATATTGGCGACGTGTAACGAACCGCTTGCTATATTAGAGATCTCCATTCGAGCATACTTAATGTCTGACCTACATGTAATCACAACATACACCCACCAGCAACTATCAGTCACACCAGGCTAGTACCAGGCTGGACCCCCTTTGTCTTCAGAACTGCCTAAACCCTTTGTGGCATTGAGTCAAACGACGCTCAGTTGGTATCAAGGGGTAAACGTGATGAGGAAATATCTTCCACACATTTACACCACCAGCAGCAGCCTGAACTGCTGACACAAGGTAGAATGGATCAGTGCTTTCAAGGCGTTCATGTCAAATTTTGACCCTGCTGCCCGCAGAAATTAAGACTCATCAGACCAGACGTTTTTCCAATCTCATGTTGTCTACTTTTGGTGAACCTGAGTGAATTGTAGCCTTTTCTGTTCTTAGCTGACTGGCTGAGTGCCACTTTTTAGCTGTAAAGTCTAGAGATGGGTGTGTGGAACAATCCCAGCAGATCAGCAGCTTCTGAAATACTCAGATCCACCTGACACCAACAACCACGATACATTCAAATCACTTAAAAAAGAAAGAAAGAAAGAAAGAAAGAAAGAAAGAAAGAAAGAAAGAAAGAAAGAAAGAAAGAAAGAAAGAAAAAAAAAATCACGTTAGCTCCCCATTCTGATGCTCGGTTTGAACTTCAGCAGGTCATCCTGACCATGCCCACGTGCCTAAATGCACTTGGTTGCTGCCATCTGATTGGTTGATTATGCTAATATAAATCAATTTAAACCAGTTTAGTTACAATTCAGGCTGAATTTGTGAAAAAATAAAAATAAAATCTACAGCTAAATGAAGTGTTGAACTGCCCTGTGGGAAGTTATGAGCACAGTTGCATGTTATTTTATTTTGACAATCAGCCAACACAGGATGAAGGAAGAGGCAAAAAGACAATACAGCCATTGTGAAGGACATAATCTGGGAAACTGCTACTCAGTTCATGAATCTGTTATTCATGTTTTCCATAAAACAGACACATGGGCAGACATGTTCAATTGTCCAATTGTTCTGTTAAGAATTTTAGATCAAGGGTGTCAAACCTAATGCCCGGGAGCCAGAATCGGCCGGGTAAGGATTTCAATCCAGCCCACTTGATGGTTTTGGAAAATGTGAAGGATGGCTTCAACTGTGGACTATTATCTGTTTTACTTTATTTCCTACTGAAAAAGACCTGCTCCCATGCCATTCATATTACACCAAAGTAAAAGATAATTAATCGAAAAGTACCTGTTTTTTATCTACAATAGAAATTTCTGTTTTTTGTTTTTTTTTTTTACAATGGGTCCACAGTAACAGAAACATTTCTTCATCTCAGTTCTTTCTAAATGACAAACTTTTGAAATTGCACTTCTTTTTTAGTATTAAGACATCTGAGGGATTTAATGTGTAGTTAAACTTCCTTAAGTGGATTGGAAGTGGGGGTTTCAGTCTTCCGCCCCATTCCAGATCAAAGCTGTATGTGGCCCTCGGTGTAAAATGAGTTTGCCATCCCTGATTTAGATCAAATGAATCAGTGGAGCTGTTACACATTCCTCGTTGTGTTTTGTTCCTCTTCATTCTGCTTATGGAGTCATCTTATGTGTGCCACCTTCAAAGGCAGTAGATTATCTGAAGACTAATGCTATATATGAGTTTATAATCCCTTTCACATTTATGCGAATCAAAATGTGTAACCTAAACACTTAGTTGAGGCATGTTTAATGTGAGCAAGTGATTCCGGTAAAAAAAAAAAAAAAAAAAAAACCTTGCCAATGCATGATCCTAAGCCAAGATCTTGAACTAAGAGACTGAAAGCCCTGAAACTCAACCCTGAAACAGAACATGTAATGCAAAAAGTTGCTAAAACCTTTTGCTTGCTTTTGTTTTTTTGTTTTTTTTAATAAACCACAGGATCTCAAAAAACATGCATATGAGGGATGCCCGTAAAAAGGAGAACACAAAAAAAACCCTCAAAAATCTTGTTACCACAGGAATATTTTTCACTCTTTTCCCCTTGTAACTTAGTTTTGTGACCCTTGGCTGCTAGAATAAGATACTATAATAAGACAAAGAGGGACACAGAGGCATACCAATGTTCACAGAGTCTTCCCAGTCTTCCAGCATCTCCGTCACCACGAGGGTGTAGACATAAGTCCTGTGCTTTCTGTCTTGATTGTGCTGCAAAGGTTTACATGAAGAGAAAATGAATTTATGTTTTTCTGACAAACCACCAACGCAGTGCGTGCAAAGCCTTCATTAAAAAAGGCAAAAACTGTGATTAGCCGTACCATTTCTTTTATAGAAACTCCATGAACTAAACAAGTTGATTGTCTGACCACAGACATACAAAAACGCTAGGTGCGGCAGTAGGATGATTTTATACAGCACTATGTATCGCGACATGATTACAAATTACAATTTTTCATAACATACCTCGAATATCCCAAGCAGTCTGCCGAGCTTTCCCTTTACACCAGCCTGCACACATAAATCAGAGTCATTATTAAAAGTGATTGCCCACAAGTCATAATCTAAAGTATTCAGGTGAAACTGTCCTTTCAACACACTGTGCAGCGAGATCACTTGGATTCGCGTCATATATGATCCCAGGTAGACATAAACATAGTCTAAATGACAGAAACACGAGACAGGGGGCTTAGCTCAAGTATAGTACACAGTTAGGACACAGCTATCATTTACAGTATCAAACCATAACAGACATCCCGGTCATTGCTGTAATGTCTTCCAGACTTCTTTAAAAAAGCACACTAAAATGCACACAACGGCCTACAAGGCTTTACAAATTTATGCACAAATAAAAATTAACAAATGAGGCTCAATCCGCTTTGAATCGCCTTTATCCTGATCTGCGTCAGCTCCGTGAGGCGTAGGATGTGGGCAACTGGAACCCCTTCCTAAATGTCACTGCCATACTTCAAAGCTGTCAGCACACTGCTATCCATGTCAGAAGCTCACAGCTCACTTTGCTGTGAACAATCTGGCCAGCCACCAGCAGCCTCCTTTCTTAAACCACAGCATGATAAGCTGGCTATCCATGCATCCTTGCCACATATTTCTACTTCTGTTCTGGATTTTTGGCTGGTAGAACAACAGGAGCGACTTGTACTGTGAACAGCGATGACACTTCTGACAAAGATTTACTGATTTCACTTTCAGTTTAATGTGTCTGTCCTTTGAGCCCATGATGCATACATTGCAATCAGAATATATGATACTGAGATGGAAATTAGCCCCCCAGTGTTCAAAGTCATGAAATGTCATGATTTTTTTTTTTTTATCTTCCACTTAAATAATGAGATAATTCCTTGGAAAACCAATAAACATTATCAGCTGACAACTGATAAAATTCCCTATACTTATTACTTTTTAACACTATGGTAACTTTGTGTCACTTCCAATATTAATAACCAATATTAGTAACCAAAAATGGTTACTAATCTCAAGGAAACTTCGGAATGCTGCTTTTTATATTGTGCTCTGTATGAAAAATAACACTGTCTCTGTAAGGGGTGATTATGGAAAAGTCCGGAGCCACCTCTCATTTCTTTACATTTTGATTCCCAAGTACTAAAAAGTGGTTTTGACCAATACTTCTCCAGGCTTTATTCAAAGGATTCTTTGTTTGTTTGTTTGGACATTAGTTGCTTTTTCACTCATTTTAAGTCAGCTTCTTGTACCTCATAATTTTCATATGAAAGTTTTTGGTTTGTTAAGGCAAACCTGTGAATAATTCAAGCATAGAAAAGGCAAATAGCAGGCAACTTAGCAAAGATCCTATTTTTAATTGTATCTTTAGCCACTTCGTGTCCTTTCGCAAAAACAAAATCATTTGTACGCATTTCTTTAGTTTATGAAAAATGATAGCACAGCTTGAAAAATACAAAACAGCCTTTTTACACTAATAAATAGAGAAAACTGGACAGGTTTACACCTAAAAAATGTATCTACAGCAGTTAGTGGCAATCTGTTTAACATGGTAGATTCACCATGTAATACATGACATGAAAATGAACCCAAACATACTGCCAGTGCAGTAAAATCATACCTGGATATGAAAACAAACAATGAAATTCCATCAGTCATGGATTTGCCCCCTCAGAGCCCAGACTTCAACATTATTAAAGCAGTGTAAGATCATCTTGACAGAGAACGGTATGAACGGCAGTCAACATCCAAGATGAGCTTTAAATGTCCTTCAACAAAAACACGTATTCCCACGTACGTTTCAATAAGTCACTGCACCTATTTTCTATTTTCATTGCAAAATATAAAGAAATGGGGTGTCGTTCATCACTTTGCGCAGTACTGTATAGATCCTAGGCTTTAACCAACAATGCATGCAAACAATAGAAACGTCTTTATGGGTTTAATTAGCGAACAATCAATTCACCTCTTCATACACCTCCCTGACAGCAGCTCCACAGGGCTCCTCATCAGGCTCCATTCCCCCTCCTGGCACGATCCACTGGTCTGGATGGCGACTGCTGCTCACCAACAGCACCTGCCAAGGAGAGAGAGCCCTCCGTCAGGCCTCTGCTACTGAGGTTGGGGTGCAAAAAGCACAGCAACAGCATGCCCGAGTTCAGCGTCCGTCAGCACGGACGCGGTGGCCAAACGAACTGCTCGTCATTCAGCAGACGCATGTCGAACATCTCGCATATCATTCCAGTCATTCACTTCATTTACTTAATGCAACATGAGCGCTGTGCGAATGATGCTGCTCTGCGTGTCACACTCTTTGGCACATAATTTAAATAGACGAATGAGAACAACTAATGTAATGATTCATGTATCGGCCTGTTTTTAGTTGTCAATGGATTTAATGAAAGATAATTCATAATCTGGAATCTATTTACAGTACGGCCAGCTTTAGCGTTTTGAGTAGTACCAACATCAAATGTTATATTTAATCCCACTCCGTTTGAAGAAGTACAAATCAACGTTCTAACCCAAAGAAATATCCTAAAGCTGCACACTATTTTTAACTGCCGTCCAGCCAATGCAGTTTGGTGTTTTGATGACGAAGTTACTTGACCTTAAACCCAATCCGGCATCACTGACCCACATTGAGTTCATGTAGGACTGCCTTCTGAAACCTTAACACTGGGCAACCAACTCACTCTCCAGTCAGGCTAACACTCACCTGTGTTAAAAACGCCAGTCGAATAAACCCTTTCCACATTAAACACAGCTGTCACAGCAGAGGTTTCCCTCTGTAAGATCTTTCTGCTCACGCTGCCAAATGGAAGCAACTTTGTGAAGCGCCTAATGGTAACATCTTCATATCATCAAAGCTGATCTCTTTGGGTAATAAATGCTTAATGTCATTTATCACCCAATATATATGGGTGATATATACCCAGTGTATATGAGTGTAACACTTTCTCACTCTGCTCCTTTATTTACAAACTCTCTAGAAACCATGTGATTTATTTTTAACAGTGCAACTCTGTCCATATCTATGAGTGAATAAAATACTAAGTTATTAAGGTAAAAGTCACTTCAATGTCCAAGTTCATACTCTTCCACAGCAGACACATCTCTCTACGCATTTACTCTGCTCAGTGAGCTAATTTATTTAGCCATGGCATTGCCAAAATCTTAGTTAAAATCAAATGTATGTGTTTACTCCACATCATGGCTTCTGCTTTCTATGGCTACTCACATTAAGCCACAAAGAGGAAGGCCAATTATTTTAGCTGGTTTTGTATTCCAGGTGACACATCTCATCTTAAACAAATCCGCGCAGGGTCCAGGGGACTGTAGAAACACCGCAAGTTGCCTCAGTGACACAAATCCACACAACGTACACATGCATGCGCAATTTCACACAAACGGCATGTGAAGCACGTAGGCACTTGTACAGACACAGCTACTCGCACACAGACAACAGGCTTTCCAAAAACCACCAGATCAGCAGTTACCTCTCTGTATCAAAACAAAGAGCTTAGGAGAGGAGGTTAATGACCCCGACAGGCACCAAACACGATCGGGGGAAAGTGAGGAAGCGTTTGGAGTGGGCAGAACCCCGACATCTTTACAGTCTGATCCCACTCCGGCCAAATTCTACGGGCTGAACGATGTGTTAATGCCTTTCAAAAGAAGCTAAATTTAAAAGGCAACCTTTGTCTCAGTAAATGCCTTAATTAAGGATTCACTGCTTGTAAAATACTTACATTGGTGTCTAAAAATAACAATTTATCAGCAAATAATAAGAAGAATACATTTTATCTATAGGCACCTTTTCAAGTAGGAAGCAGAAACTTAAAATTAATGTGATTAAAGGGAAACCAGTGAAACTGTTGAAAGAGAGGAGTGATGTGTTCTGTGGAAAGGGTTCAGGTAATGACAAGAGGAGCAGTATTTTGGACCAGCTGAACTCTAGAGGGAAGTCTGTGTGGATACGATTACAATAATCAATACCAGATGCAACCGGTCAAAATAAAAACTTTGACAGACCTTCAGAAAGCCTGGAGAACTTTTTCTCAAGACAAGGCAGGCTTTGTGGAATATAATATAAGGAAATCAGTTACGGATCAAGACTTTTCCACAGAAATGTGTGGTTACATAGCTGTGGACATGTAAAAATAAGTAAATGAATAAATATATGACATATCAATATGTTGTGAAACCATACATCAGGTGCCACTGAGTGGGGGTGGGGGGATGTCCCCGGACAGATAACTGGTGCATCTCCCCACTGTACCTCTATCCAATAAAAATGTATATACAAATTTCAATTTAAAAGTCAACTCCATTCTGATAAGTGATAAGCTGCCTCAGCTCTGCTGTTTCACTAAAGCGATGGTTGGGGCTTTAAGTCAGTCACTTAAAACAGATTATTATGGATTTCCAACTCTTGTTTGGTTTTTATATGTACCCATTTTCAGTTATCTCAACTATAAAAGCAGGAAACTAACTAGGCATATAATTCTTTTCTTTCTCTCTTTGCCAGCCATATTTTTCAAGTAACCTATATTTGAAAACAGCAAAATAAAACTGGAAATTCTGTAGTGTGCCACCGCAATATTTTTGGTGACCTCCATACGGCTACCCCTATGAAAAAATTCTGGAGGCGCCCCTGGTAGGGGCCCAGGCACAAGGAGCAGGAAAGGAAATCTGTCAGGGAGTAGCAAGTGGCTGTACCTTGTTTCTATAAATTGCAACTGATGGGTCACTTGGAGTTTAGCACACTGTAACAGCCACTCAGCCCCCTACTCATCATATCACATGTGGCCCAGAGTTAGTCTGCGTCACTAGGCAGACACATTTAGACCCAGAACAAAACAACGGTAATATTAACAAACTTAAAAGTTTCTTATCCAAACTGGCGCATCACTGAATAATAATTTGTGTTTCAGTCAATGTCTGTGCTTGTTATATGACATACATCACTACGTACATGTGCTGTATACTTACACATTTCCACGAATGACAAAATGATAGGCGACTGATTACACGTAACACGTTAAAACCTCATATTCAGCTCTCTAATTTAAAGACAAACATTTCTTTCACGTGAGTAAAATGGCTGAGAACATTTGCTTTATGGTTGCGTCATCATTTGAATCAAAAAGTAGAACCAACTGGCCTCAGGAGTAGCAGGTATCTCAGCAAAATTAGATTTAGTAAAACCGCATCAGCTGATGTGTTGGAAAACAAACTCTGCACTACTTTATTTATGACAGGAGGTGTTTATGGGCCCATAGCTGTGAAATATATGCAGAGACTGCTCTGCGTTAGAGATAACTGGGATGATTATATGAGTAATCTGGATGTCCTTCTTGGCAAGAACGTGAAAAACGATGATCTCCTGTTGAGTGCCAGCTGCAGCCACACACCCTGTAACAGGTCAAATATTTGCCCCCCTCCAACCTTCACCTCTGCCCAGCACCTCAATTAAAGACGAGCCACGTGAACGCGCTCCCCACACACTGAAAGTCAGCCAGACGCGCGATAAAGCAGGCTGCTGTACTGTCAGGCACAGCGGTTAATTTGGGACTGTGTCAAAAATAGAGCGTGTTAATAAAAGCCCTCTCCTCCTACAAATGGTTTAACTTCACAGCTTACCTCGTCCTCTGTTTCGTTTTTGAAACACAGACACGCCGCTCTCCTCTTGAACCCTTCGACGTCGTACGTCCTGGTCTGGTTGGGCTTAAACTTCATCATATAGAGGCCTTTTTTTCCGAAGGCAGGGAAGTGTTGGGAAATCGGGCTTCAACCAGTCGCTGATTAAAGTGCTTTCAGTAATATCCAACAATATCGCAGCTTGGCTTCTTCAGACACTTCCAGACAAACCATGCAGCTGGTCCATTCATTCCTGCGCTCCGAGCGCGCGTCAGGCTGCATCTGGTGCTGTGCTGTACCTGCTCTGCTGCTTTAGTGCCGCTGCCAACACGCAGACTGGCTCACATCACGCTGTGGTGGCTGAGCTGCGACCAGCTGACCTGAGAGCTGCGCAGCAACAAGCCCGTCAGTCCCCACCTTACATCCGTGTTTATCACTGCGACGCACAGGCCGAACAGAAACGAGTCTCCTTTATGGAAGAGAAAAGGTGACTGAGCTGCAAGATGGAGTTGCTGTTAAAAATCTCCAAATCCAGCCAGGATGCACTTGAAGAGCGTGTTAATGCCCACGATAATAAGTGCACTGACTCATTTTTAATGCAGAAAACAGATCTAAACATTTCATGTCACAAATAACACAGAAAAGGTAAATTATTTTTTAAAGGCGAAATGGCACACAGATTATTTTATTCATTGTGATTTATTTATTTATTGCACGAGCACGTGAGTAAAACGCTTACCTGTTGCGTCTTGATTCTTGAGATAGTCAAATTTTCCCTTTAAACGAACAAAACTAAAAAATGCAGGCTTGCGTAAAACTTTCAAAGCTTGGGGTGCCCTCTAGTGGAAGTAGGCAGTCCTTATTTACCTGTATTCACTTGTGGAAGCAATGTGTTTAAAAAAAAAAGAAGAAAAAAAAAGGTTGGGGTGTTTGTATTATTAGTGACTGTCCAAATCAGAACCAATGATAACTGGCAGCCGTTTCTGTTTGAAAGCGCTTAAGCTAAACAAATAGTCTTGATTATTATGAATGAGCCTAACATACATCCAAAGTTGCACTGACTCACACAAGGATTAAAAGGGTTTGTGAAAAGTTAAGAACTGAACCATGTTTTGCAAACACAGGTATTAAAAATCAGGAGTACAGTGTGCCAGCTGAAGTTTTCCAGGTCAGATGAAACAACTCGCAATACAGAGATCCAAGCCACATCCATGTGGCAATCACTGAAGATTTTAGGCACCATGATTTTCTGTAGCTTGAAATTACTGCTTTTAACCCTGACTGGAATTCTGAATAATGCCAGTAACAGCTATAAGAACGTCATGAATTTGATTTTGTGTGGACTAAACTAGCAAATAAATGTTAATATTAAGATCTTCTTGTAGTGAACTTGAGTAGCAGGGTTTCTGCATGGTTTTAAAAATCAATAATAATGCATTTTAAGGTCTTATTGTGCAATATATTTTGCCACAACTGCAAGCTGAGCATACAATTCCTTCTGATTTTCTTTGGACATTGGCTGCTATGTAACTCCTTTTCAGTCCAGTTCTTGTACCTGGCCACTTTCAGAAGAATGTTTTTGTTTCTTGAGCCACATAACACTAAGCGATCATTATTCAAGCATTTTAAGATTTAGGGGGAAAAAAATCCAGCAAAGACCTGAAATAGAACTGGACAGATCCAATTTGACTTTTCGTTGATCCATTAATGTTCACTGAAATGGTCTTAGTGGAAAGGTGGCTGTCAACAAATCTTTAAGGAAGAGAAAGAGGGAGAAAAGGCTGAGGCATCCCAAATTACACAGGACCGTAAAGCAGTGGCAACAGGTTTGACGGAGGGATGAATCCTAATGTGAAATTTTGGGTTCAAACTGTCTACAGAGGTGGTGATGAGAGAGGTACAACAGTGCTTACAGCTTTCTGCAAAACACGACAGAGGTTCTGTCATGGTTTGGGGCTCCATTTCAGTTTAGTGGTGTTTAGGATCTTGTCAAAATGATGGAATCGTGAATGCAGATTTTTATCCATGCAATACCATCTGGAAAGATCTGCCATGATTCTCAGCAGCTTCATTTTTGCCATGACAATGATCCAAAACATACTGCCAATACATTAAAAGCATACATGACAAAAAAAACCCTACATTGAACATCTTCAGTCATGGTTTGGTTTGCCAGACTTCAACATTACTGTGTGGAATCATCTTAACAGAGACAAGAACAAAAAACAGCAAGCATTCAAAGAAAAGCTCTGCGTGTCCTTTAAGAAGCCTGGAGAACTATTCCTGAAGACTACTTAAAGAAAATACAAGAAAGGTTCCTGAGAGAGTTCAGGCTGTGTTGAAGAATAAAGGTGGTCAGATCAAATATTCAGTCAAGCTTTTTAGAATTGTACAAACTCAGTTTTTGCCTTATGTACTGTATTTACATGTACGTTTGCATTATCCAATAAATTTCCCACTTTCCTAGCAAACTAAAAAGAAATGAGAGAAGGCCCAAGACATTTGCCCAGTACTGTAGAGTACTGAAAAAAAGATTGCCGTCATGCATTGAAAGCAGTTCCAATACTAAGTATTATCTGGTAAGTATGAATGCCATTCTAGTGACAAATATCTAATACCAGCTCAAAAAAAGACAAAAAAGTGGTGGCTGATAAAACTCGCTCTTAAGTTTGCAATTTTTCATTTCACTTGGATTCCAGTTACCTTTTTTGTCGTATAAATACTTATCATCCCAAAGTGTTATTATGGTTCCAGTCCTTTTATTACAGATTGGAAGAAGAAAAGTACAAAAACACCCTGGATTGTTTTTGTTGACCTATGAAGTACGCAACATGCCGCTAAAGATAATGAAAGGCTGCATTTTGCAGATATATAAAGCAGTTACTGTCTTTGTGTTAGTCAGCACATTGCTGGTATGCCTGCCTCCATTTGTGTTTGCACATTTCTATAAATCACTGCATTGTTTTCCCATTTTCCTAAAATGTAAAGAGGAAGTTGGGTCTATAATCTGTCTATCCCCGTTTGCCCTGTAATGGCTTTTCGCCTTATGATAGATATATAGGGTTAGACTCCACCCCCGTCCCCCTTGAACGGTGAACTGTCCGTAACTGTGTGTGTACAAATTACAAACCAACTTGGACACAATGTACCACATGTCCTATTAAGAATCACAGTCAGGTGTTTATTAATCAACAGAATTTATTTACAGAACATAAAAGTTTGTAGTTGGACTGTTTCATATCATTCTGAGAGCAGGAAAACATTTCACCTTCAGATTAACAAAGAATGAATTTACACAAAGTGAAATGAATACAGACTTTACAGCCAAAGCCCAGTCACAACAGTCAAGAGTCAAAGCCTTCATTGTACTTTTGGTGTGATCTCCTCCACAATGCAGCATCTCTTCTCACACACCAATCACAACACCCCAGTTCCCGCTTTCATCAACTGACTGTTCAAATGTAACTGCTTTTTGAAATAAATGCCAGTGAGAGCAGGTAAACCACAGAGTTTTGCAGAATTAAACTGATGACGTAAGGGGCCGAAAAGCAAGAGCAGTTAGTATGCTAACAGCAAGAAAAGATTCACATGTAAAAGACAAGATATGGTAACAACACATACTGTATGTGCTAAAACTAAAGAAAGGTCCACAATGTCCACTGAACCCACCACACACACTCTCATGCCATCCACAAAAGTACTGTACATCCAAGTCCACACTGAGAGTGGCTGGAAAAGTTAATGTGACAGTGGCAGGCTCAGTTTGGTTCTCAGTCATCTCAGTTTATATTTAACAAATCCAGATTGACTCGAAGAAGCAGCACAGCGATGATTGTTTATGCGTCCTACTGGGCAAACCTACACAGGACTAAACCTTCTCCAGGCGAGCGCCTACAAAAACAGTGGGCTAGTAGAGTTAGCTGCTTTTAATGAACAGCAACACGATAAAACAAAGTTAAAAGAAACATAAAAAGCATATCATGTTATCCACATCTAAGCCAGTCTCTAACTCAGCTTATTCCCCTGCTCCAAAATTGTGCCCCCTCCCCCCTGAAAAAAAAAACGTGTGATGCAAGACACCTTTTCCCCTCAGTGGACAAAGAAAGCTAGATGAGTAGATCTAAAACCTCTGCCCATGCATTTGAATAGTAGTGAGTCAGGACAAAGACAGCTCGTAATTTCTAGTGTGCATTTAAATCACCAAATGTCAGCAGTATATATATATTTTGTGTGTGTACTTTTAGTGTGTATACATATATAAGAAAATCTGACATGTATATACACTAAAAGATGGTGTCCTTTAAATGCAAATAAAGCAGGAGGTGGTCTTGGCAGCACATGAGTTGTGTTCATACAATTTGCTTCCACTTCTGTCTCCAAGAGGCTGCTTTACACTTCATTTTTGTTTCCAGCATAAAGCCTGGTCCATGTCTTGGCTGCAAAGTAAAATAAAAAATACATCAATTTTAAAGGAAACCATAACTTAAAAGAAAAATATTCCATATTAATTGTGTGTGATATAAGTGACTTGTTTATATACAGAGATGAAGTGGCACGACTATGGGTAATGCTCCTGCATTATCATCATCATGCCATAATTTTAGTCAAGGATCAACATCACAACTGCCCAATCACATTGTTGTGATGTCATAACATTGCAATGTGGGGAGGGGGGAATAAAAAAAAGGTTACAGCTTATATAAAACTCTCTTTGATAACGAATGGTAAGCATTTCAAGTGTTCTCTTTAATAATCTTTAATTTCGAGACTATAATAACTTTATTATGAAATCAGGATTGCTGTTACCTAAATTTGGTTAGTCATGGTGGTTTTTAAAAGCATTTGCTAACTTCTTCATAACTGCAATGTTGATTGTGGACCAAGATTATCATAACAACGTAGGAGCATCAAACTGGCTAACAACATCATGAATAATGAGGTAAATCTTATCTTTACACCACGCCAGATCATGGCTCTCACCGGTTTCTATGGCTTCAGCTTCACTGCTCTTCCACTTCTCTGCAACATCATTTGCTAGGGGATCGTCAGGGTTGGGTGCACTTAGTAAAGCCTGGATTGAGAGCAGCACTGTACGAATCTGCAGAGCTGGTGACCATTTATCTATTAAAAAATAAATAAAATAAAATAAAGACAAGTGTAGTCAAATTAAAAAATGCATACAGGCAAAACACATGAAAAGTGACCAATGATCCTGTTTAGGAAGAGACTTTTAATAAGAGACAATATATTCTTTGTCTCTGATATGATGGTGAAAGGCATGATTAATATTCTCATAGATTTTTAAGCTACAATACTGGCTTACCTTTCAAAATGTCAAGACATATTCTTCCCAACTTGTCAACGTTTGGATGATAAATTTTGGTCATGAAACGTACTTTAGGAGCTGCCATGGGATATTCCTCTGGTAAAAAGAGTTCAAGTCTAAATGTGCCTCCTTCGAAAGGTGAGTCCTGAGGTCCAGCGATGACCACGTGAAAGTAGCGGGCATTGGCTTCATCTGGCTCTGCCTTGATGCCTGGGA